CCTAGAATGCTGAGATTCTTAGAGGCATAATTTTATTTAGCTAATCACGTAATTTCTCTCAGGACTGAATTTAGCTGAGCCCAGTAATGAAAGGCGGTGGATGAATGTTCAAAAAAAAATTATCCCTTGCAAAGCCAGTGCTCCTGATTTGGATCTGGAGCTTATATTCCAAGATCGTGCCACTAAACTTGGAAAATCGAACAGGAAATTGATTGTAGTTGCTTCACTCATTGATAAACCCACCAACTTAGGAGGTAAGCTCTTACTTATTTTAAACCACTTATAGATTTTGCTTTTATTTTACATTGTATGTCTTGTATTTACAAAGTAACAAACCTACTTTAACCTGGAAAATAATTTTGAGGATTTAAAAAGAGCAAATAAGTTTTTATATTTTAAATCTCCAATTGTTACACAAAACAGAAATGTCTTTTGTTTTCTTAATTGTGTTAATACCTATGTTACAGTATTTCAAGGAATAGTTGTTGTATGCAATGTGCATCTTTTTGATTTTAAAGTTAGATTTAAAGGTGATTATTTATTTTATTTATTGTGACTTCAAGTCAGTTGACTCCTGGAACTGCCTGGACAAACTTTGCAAATCTTTTGGCAAAATTTGCTATTGCCACTTTCTTCGTAAGGCTGAGAGAAAGTGACTGGCCCAGGGTCACCCAGACTAATCAGGACTCGAACTCGTGGCCTCCCAGTTTCTAGCCTGGTGTTTTAAGCACCACACCACACTGATTCTCACCACATATTTATAGCATTAGTTTGAATCTCCATTCATGCTACCTATATGCACCATTCAATTGAGTAAATCAATTTCATATTGAAAGAGCTTTACTTGTGTTTGTAGGCTTGTGTCGTACGTGTGAAATATTCGGTGTTTCTGCTTTAACTGTTAGCAACCTCCATTATATAAATGACAAGCAATTCCAGCATCTCAGCGTGTCTGCTGAACAATGGCTTTCTGTTATTGAAGTGAGTAAAAGAAACCTTCCTGTCACAGACATGCAAGTCTCCTGGTTTTCATGTAGTTGCATTCAAGTTGGACACTATAAAATGATCTGCGTTAATTTTATGGTATTATATATTAGTTGCAGAATTTAAAGGGACAGTCCAACTTCAGCATTATTATCTCTCTTTTGATTTCAATGGGAGAATTATAATCGTGGATTTTTCATATATAGCCAATTCTAGTAGACGAGGGGAGGAAAGAGTGACCTCACTTTGGGGCTTGTATGGGCAGCTCTTCTGAATCAGATACCAAATTAACATCTTTAGCTTACTGGTGAAATGCTGTGAACGGCACCAAGCTAAGGACTTCTTCGCCATTCTTGGACTAGGGCAGCATTTTGATCAGTCCAATCAAAATGAAAAGGTTTCCGTCTACATAATATTAGCCAGGATAGATCTATTCAGTCAGAACATGCTATATTTTGCTTAGGGTACTAATGAAAATTACACACTTCCAAGACCTAATACTAATCTCATTTTTCAAAAATTTACAGGTAAAGCCATTTCAGCTGATTGAATATTTGGAACAGAAGAAAACTGAAGGCTATTCTATAATAGGAGTGGAGCAAACAGCTAAAAGTTGCAATTTAATGAAATATTGCTTTCCAGAGAAATCCCTGTTGTTGTTGGGGTAACGAAAAATCTAATTGTAATAAATTTTTCAAACATATTTTTGGTAGAGAATACTGAAAACCATTCAGAAAATAAAAAGAAACAGTTTTTCCTATGTACTGCAGACCTTTCCCTTAGACCAGTGATGGCGAACCTTTTAGAGACCGAGTGCCCAAAAACCGCCCCTGTCCCCCGCTCCACCCTGCCTGCTGGGTCACCCACCACCTCCACCTGCCATAGATCACCCAGGCAGCCCAGCAGCGCCATGGCCACGCCCTCAGCCCATGCCCATCCCAGCTGCCCAGCTACCATGTCCTTGGCTGCGCTGCTTCGTGTGGGCCGTGCCCAAGGGTGACTCTCCTCCTGGGGAGCTGCTGGTGAGGAGGGGGCTGTGGGAGAAGGCGGGGCTGGGGCAACGGTGCATGTAACCAAAGAGAGGGCTCGGAGTGCCACCTCTGGCATGCGTGCCATAGGTTCGCCACCACTGCCTTAGACAGCTACATTATATGATTTATCTGTTAGGCAGCCACATACTGGCAGTAGATACTGTGTTTTCCCCAAAATAAAACACCCCCAAAATAAGCCCCAACTTGATTGTTGGGGGTGGGCCTAATATAAGCCGTACCCCCAAAATAAGCCCTAATTTTGGGGTGAGGCGCACGCCTAAAAATCAAGCTAGGGTGGGGTGGAGCTTATCATTGCAGCCAGGCCTCCCATGATCGACACTTGCCTCGCCTAGCCAGAGATTCAATCTGTAGCTCGGTTCTCGGCTGCACAGGCCTTCCAGAAAGGCCTCTGATGGCGAAATGGAGGCCTGAGCTCCATTTTCAGCTACAGAATGAAGCTGCTCCTTTGGCCGCAGAAGAAATGGGCTGGCTGGGTTGGGCTATCGGTGCCGCCGCTGCGAGGTGAGTGGAAAAGACCCCTCCTCCTGAAAATAAGGTCTGGTGCCTCTTTTGCAGGAAAAATAATAATAATAAGACTGGGTCTTATTTTCAGAGAAACAAGATAGGTTGAAAAGCTGAACAGAAAAAAAAAATTCCTATCTCTTCAGTATGAATAAAATGCCTGCAAATAAAACGGGGCCACTTTTTCACCACTTTTCAATGGTGAAAAAAAAAGTTCTACATTTAGGCAAGAAAAACCAAATGCACAGGTATAGTATAGGTGGTACCTTGCTCAATAGTAGTAACTGTGAGAGGGATCTTGGAGTCCTAATGGACAATCACTTAAATATGAGCCAGCAGAGTGCTGCAGCTGCCAAAAAAGCCAACACAGTGCTAGGCTGCATTAACAGAGTGATAGAATCAAGATCACGTGAAGTATTAATACCACTTTACAATGCCTTGGTAAGGCCACACTTGGAATACTGCATCCAGTTTTGGTCACCACGATGTAAAAAAGATGCTGAGACTCTAGAAAGAGTACAGAGAAGAGCAGCAAAGATGATTAGGGGACTGGAGGCTAAAACATATAAGGAACAGTTGCTGGAATTGGGTATGTCTAGTTTAATGAAAAGAAGAACTAGGGGTGATATGATAGCAGCATTCCAATATCTTGGGTTGCCACAAAAAAGAGAGGGAGTCAAGCTGTTCTCCAAAGCATCTGAAGGCAGGACAAGAAGCAACAGATGGAAACTAATCAAGGAGAGAAGCAACCTAGAACTAAGGAGAAATTTCCTGACAGTTAGAACAATTAACTAGTGGAACAACCTGCTCCAACACTGGAAGTTTACTAAGGAGAAATTTCCTGACAGTTAGAACAATTAACTAGTGGAACAACCTGCTCCAACACTGGAAGTTTTTAAGAAGAGACTGGACAGCCATTTGTCTGAAATGGTATAGGGTTTCCTGCCTGAGCAGGGGGTTGGACTAGATGACCTCCAAGGTCCCTTCCAACTTTATTATTTATTTATTTATTATTATTATTAATATTTGGTGAATACTTGATTGTAACTAGTACAAATTCCCCCCCCAAAAAAGTTGACAGTCCAAATCACATTATTCTCAGTGACAGTTCACAAATCGCTATAGTAATTGCAATCCATACTAAAGTGCATAAGACTGCCTGCTTTATTGTTAGTATTTACTGATTTTTATCTCTTTAACAATAAGAACATCTACAGTAGAAACTGCAAAGATTTCAGATTCTATCTGGCCTGGACCTCCAATAAAAAGTCCAATAGTATCTTGAAGTAGGAGGGTGAAAATGAAAATATATAAATCAGGTTATTGATCTTTCTAGCTCAATATTATCAGCAATTCTTTAGTATTCAAAGCAAGTATTTTAGAAATATTGGCATTTGAACTTGATTTTTTTCTGCATGTGAAGCCTGTGTTCTACCATTGAGCAGTGTTCCATTTCTGCTAATCCATTTTCTTCTTTTTTTAAATCAGAAATGAACATGAGGGAATCCCAGCAAATATAATTCAGCACTTGGACACTTGTGTAGAAATTCCACAGCAAGGAGTTATTCGTTCACTTAATGTCCATGTAAGTGGTGCTCTGCTTATTTGGGAATATACAAGACAGCAGATGATGAAGGAAAAAGAATAAAGACAAAATGTTTAATTTTTGTTGAAGCCAATATTTGATGGTGCTATAAATTCCCTGAAATTATTATAGTTACCATTTAATTATGTATTAGATTTTGTATGCCTTCATTTTTATAAAAAAGCTCTTAATTTTTAAAATAATGACAGTATTAAAATTGTTTTTAATGCAGTTTTTGGTGCTAGTGACTCTGATTACATTGCTGTAAACACTACCTCTTGATAGTTCTGAAAGTGGTGGTAAATAATTATTCATTTGCAGCACAATGGCCGCTTTTGCTGTGTGTAATTTCTGCAACTACAGAGCTGTCAAAAAATTAATAGAGCAAGCTCTATGTTGTTGCTGGTCCATATAACTATAAATTTATTCCATTAACTTTTTTCATTATGGAGAAAATCTATGTGATCACTAACGAATCAAAAATGGACATCATCAAGAATATACTGCACACAGCAATGTAGCAACTTGCGATTTGACAGTTCTAGTGTCTTTGCACTTGGTGATGGCACTGGTTTTGGGGATATTTTTTTAAACATATGCTAAAGTATTTATTGGTGTTTTCCTAATAAAGTTGATCAGTTTCAGTTTCTAAAAATTGAATACATAATCTACAAATTAAATTTTAATTCAACATATTAAATAAAGTGATCTCCCATATATCTGAATCTACCAAAATGAAATATTTAAGGGTGTTACTGTTGATAATTATATTCTTCAAGATGTAATAGACAAAGGACCATTGAAATGTATTAGACATTCTGTTACATTGGGGAAAACATCTGGAAGAGGGTATTTGCAATGAAAACATGATACAAGTATTTGAATTTATACAGTTCATTTATTTTGATTTTATTGATGGTGTAGTCTTTTAGAGGTGAAAGATAAGCATATTTTCCTAAGTGCCTCTTCTCTCCAGTAAGCATTTCAAATAATGGAAGCTGGAGCTTTCAGGCCAGTATGAGATTTATAAACAAAAACAGGTCCTAAAATTTATCAGACATCGTTGGTGCCAGCATTTATGTTCTGCAATTATGCTGTTTTTCTGCAACTTCCCTTGTGTCCAGCATTGTAAAAGTTCTCTAGTTGCTATGACTTCTCTGTTTTCTCTGAAGGCAGAAATTGTCCTGATTCCATTTGTGCTTTATATTGTAAATAATCTCTTCTTTTGTTAAAGTATTTAACCTGTTTTAAATAAGATCACTTGGTTAGCAAGTCAACCAGTTCAGTAAAAGTCTAAAATAATAAAAGTAGAAAACATATTATACCCATCATGATATTTTAGATTTAATTTAATGCCACTATTATTGATCTGTCTTCAAATGTTCAATAAATTGTATCCACATCAGATTTTTTTAAAAAATAATACTTCTTTCCCTTGTTACACATAAAGGATTGGGAAAAAAACAAAGCCACCTCACTGTGCATGTACATACATACTGAAGTAGTTAGAAGAAGCCTATGGAGTGAACAGCTCTGTATCCCAGGAAAAGATATTGCTGCTTCAATGTTTCTGAATGTTTCAAAGAAAGGTATTTCCTACATGCTCCTAGTGTTGCAAAGCAAGGTTTGCACAATTCTTGTAACTATGTAAAAAGTAGTTAGCTTAAGCAATGATTTATTCATTGGCTACAAATTACAGGTGGTTCTGTTCCAGATTACAGGTAGATGGTTTTGAAATAAGATTTTGAATTCATTATAAGAAGCCTTCCCATGAGAAAATGCTTTTAATTCTTTAAAAAAAAGCATGATAGGATGGGAAATTGAAGTCTGGACACTAGGTAGAACTAAAAGGAACTAAAGATTACATATAAAGGAGAAGAATACTTAAATTTGATTTACAAATGCAGGATGAAGCACAGTATTTTAATATTGGCCATAACTGAAGGACATTTTTGAATAATAACCCAAAAGTTACTTTTAGGAGTGTCTGTATCTAAGACAATGTTTAAAAGATGTTATGGAAGAGGAACAAATTTCACCTGTCAAGACTGAGGCTAATCTGAAAGGAGTTAAAAATAATAGACTTACAAAAATGGTATTGAAAAAGATGCTACACTGAACATACAAAAGAAATTAGCTGATGTCTTAATCATTCAAAAGCTGTACAAATAACAAACCAAGAGACTGTCCTGGATCATTTTCATGTATTGGTACAAAAGAAGCCTGTTAACACCTTGAAGAATTTTGTGAGAACCAGCCAGTGAAGTGCTAGGATATTAATTTAAAGGACTAAAGATCAAGCTTGTTAAAAGAAAAAGGAAGGAATAAAAACATGGCTTATTTGGCTTATTTAGGTTAAAAAAAAAAGATAAGTTATTTAAGATATTCCTTAATGGACTTTTGCTGACGTGAAATGACAAAGGCTTTTAAGGATTTTTTTTATACATAAGAGATGGGATAAGGAAAGAATCTTTTCTTTACTATAGTATTATTTCATTCTTTTGTATTTTTATTTTCTGCATTTTCTGCATTCTATTTTTAGTTTTCACTGCAATTGTAATTTTGAATATTTATTGAAAAACTATATATATACTTTACTAATGCATAAAAGGCCATCCGCCAAGAGCAAAATAAACAAAGAATGTTCGCAAAATCCTACTTAAGCATATGCCAACAAATATGATTAAACAACCCTTCACTGTATTCACCGTATATGTGAAACCGCAGCTTCAGGATCTCTCTACTGCAAATTCTCTTTTTGAGACACTAGGAAAATCCTTGTTTATGTCCATTACAGAGGTGGAAACAGGAGGCAATACTAGTCATATTTTCTGGGCAACACTCAAGCCCAGGAAAAGGATGCAACTTCTATGTTGTTGATAGGTATAGATCTCTTCAGATGCAAATTGTGCATATTTCTACTCTTCCAGCACTGTGTTGTTAATGTGACTTTCACTATTTTCATTACAACTACTACTACAGCACTGCAGTTTATATAGACAAGAAGAATACATTCTGCTCCCATTTCATCCAGTTCAATGTTTATATTCATGTGATAGATTAATCTCCCAATAGATTGAATGGAAAGTAAATGTGAGAAAAGATGATATATAAGCTTCCTATTACTGATAGAAAAGAATTTTATCGTGAAGTACCACAGAGATGTATGGAGTTATAGAAAGCATGGAAAAGGATGGTTAGTGGAATGAAGAACTGAAATATGCACATATAAATGCTGCAAAAATGAGGACAGAACAAGATATATCATCTATATATATATTGAGAAAAAAATAGTTCAAATAATGTAACCAAAAAGGCTTTGTTTTGAATGATCAAGAATAAACAATGCAAAGAGAAATTGGAGCTATTTCAGGAGTGGATGAAAAGGGCTAAGAAAAAGAGCAAATGAGCATTAGAAGAGCAAATGGAAAGAATAAAAGTAATGAAGTGATTTCAAATTAAACTGAAGTGAGTGAATGTTAAAATGGGTACTTTTGGAGATTTGTATTAAATGAAAGCACGTTTAAGAGCAAAACTGAAATGAATGTATATAAGAATTTAAGAAAAATGGGTGAAAAGATTTATTAGTGTTACGAGAATGCTGAAAAAATGGTAAGGCTGGGGGATGGGTAAGTATTGTAGCTGGGGAAATGTTAAAATACATGGTTTCCTTATGAAGTTGCTGCACAACATTTAACCTGCCTAACGATCAGAACACTGCCATTATATTTCTCTTGTACAAAGGCCATGAGGTCAAGAATGACTGCAAATGCTCATTTATTAATGTGTCTGGAAAGTATTCAGATAGAGGTGTACTGATGTGGGAGTAAGGATGGTTTGCAAGGACAGAAAAGAATGAAGGGAGACAGTGAATAGTGATGGTGTAATTTCAGTTTACTTTGAATGACTTTTTCTGTTGACTTCCAATTTCTTTTGTTCCCTATTTCTTATTTTTTGCACATCCCAAAAGGAATATCATGTTAGGTAGGTATGCATACAAATGAATAAAAATAATTACTTACCCACTGCTGTGGGCATGAATTTTCAAAAGAGCACCTCAATTTGTCACATTTTGATGTATCTTTCATATTTTCATCTAAGCATTTCCAATAAATATCTCGGGCACCCCAGCAGGCTTTTCTTTCTTTCATGGATGGGGCTGACATTTCTGAAACTCCTAAAAAAAGGAATAAAGATGAAATAATTTTTAAAGCATATTTTTTAATTCTCTGACTTACCATCCTACAAAAACCTTGGAAACCAGTCTTCTTCAATTCTTCTAGGTGTGCTTATTTCAAATATGCACCTGAATTTTGTAAAGGTCTACTGGAAATCAAGGTGTTTGTGTAGTTTACTTACATCTGAATATCCAAAGGTTTTCAGCCAAAGGTGGAAAAAAGTTTATTATAAAGCTAACCTGGTATTAATCACATTTTTATCCCATCTTTTCTTCAAGGAGCAAAAGAGCCTAGCCTTGGTCCATTTTATTTTCTTAACTGTCAAGTGCCAGGGAAATCAGGAGATCCAGGCAGTTCAAATGGGTATTAAAATTTATTGCAAGCTTAAGCTCTCTACAAGAATCTGAATTACTTACTGTCAAATTTGGCAGTAGATAAGGAATTCAAGGTGGGCTGAACATAGATCTCTTGTGGGCACAAAAGAACTGATGACATGTTTGACCCCTCCTTCTGATTCAGCCTGGTGATCTACAACACTATGGTAGTAATTGGCCAGTTTTGAACCTGAGCCTCCCAGGTTTGGTTCTAATTATTTACTAAACATCAAAATCTATAGGTTAGTATAAGGCTAAATAACAGTGACCTTAAAGAAATGATGCATGAATAAGCATATGACATTAGGTGGTCATTTCATACATGGGTAAAAAAAAAGACAATACGGCGAATGTACACATTACACCTCATCTTTCCTAATCTGTCTTTTGTAATTCACTGGATCACTATCACGCACTATACTCCAAGTATACATGAAAATAATGAGAATCTTTCAGAAGTTTCAATCCTTAAGGCAACCATGTAATTATGACAGCTGTACTGATGGGAACAAAGATGTGTTTCTCCATGTAAAGAGATTAAACTATGAAAAAGTAAATGCATAACTCTCTTGTGAGAAAAAAACCTGAAGGTGTCACTCATATACTTGTTTAGGAACTGAATTCAATTGGACTTCTGAGTAGATATCAATGGGGCAGCATTTAAATTTTATTTGATAAAGAAGGTATGTGTTCACAAATGAACAGGAAAAGTTAATCTAATGCTGTTATAAGTCTTTTGTCTAAATCCAGCTATTAACAGACTTTTAAAAATTGATACAAGCCCATTTGAAAACAGTATGTCTTTTGCACATGCATTTCAACAGAAAAGGCCCAAAGCATCCTTGGGGTGCATATGGGCATTGTGGTCTAAAGTACCTAGAATACCTCCTTGTATACCTCTGATATATTAAAAGCACAGTAATGAAGGAGTCAATCCATCCCAGATATGAGTCACCTTAGCCCTTAATCATTTTTGGTATTTCACATTGTCTCTAGGTGAGTTTCACATTTACCACAGAGGTTGGGTTTGAGTCTCGAGCTATTCCATTGCCTTGTCCAGTTTAAGTGTTAGATCATTGCGACTAGTTTTAAAACACACTTTTTAGTTATTAATTCTGGAGCCAAACTTGCGTGCAGTGGTTCAATGAACCGAAAATAACAGCAGTAATCACTGCACACACGCGCGCGCGCGCACACAAACCCCTCGATTTTGGCACTCTTCTGTACTCGAAGAGCTGCTTTTCTTGGCTCTCTGTTTCTGTTTTCCTGGAAACGCGATCTATCTGCAAGGAAGAGAGGAAGGGGAACGTCCGGTGAAAGATTTTGAAGCGCCAGCTACTTACCACCTGTGGCTGCACCGGAACGTGGAGCCTGTTACAAACAGCTCCTTCGCCACTATCAGCAAAAGCAGCCAAATAGTGGGAATATGCTTTCCCCCCCTCCTCCACGAAGCCAAAGCTGGCCGTGGCAAAAAAAAAAAAGGTGCACGTCCCCTGCACAGGGTTCAAGAGAGAACGACCCGGAGGTTGCACAAAAAGTAAAGCCTCCTCGAAGCCTTCTCGACTTCGCACTCGAAAGAGAACGAGCGCCAATGCAATTTACGTTCACGTACAAAGGGAGCTGCAGCCTGCTCGCCTTCTCAATGACCTCCTTCGCAGGTCCTGTTGATACTTACCTAGCGCACTTCCGGAGCAGCTACATTCCCCCGGATGTTCGTCGCTGTCAACCGGAAGTGGATATGTTACTCGTTCAACAGATATGCAAAGAGCCTAAGGAGGAAGAGAAAGGAGCGTGCGGGGTTACCTGGTACACATGCGCATTTTGCCTGAGCGACCTTTCGCGAGGGCATTGCCAGCACACACCCCAACCCCTTTTTGTGCAGGCGCGGAAGGCAGAAAGTAATATCAGGAGAAGGGAGATGGCTAGCAGTTGGGAAGTTAGAAATGTTATTTGGTTTGTCAAGGACATTGGAGTGTTTTTTAAAATTTTGCTTCTTAAAATTTAAAGCCTTATTTTTTTTACAAGCTTATTAAGATTTATATCGTCGCCCAACGCGATTTTGGGCAACTTAATATAAACCAAAAAACAAACATACAGAAGCGAAATAAATAATACCAGCTAAACATATAAACAAGAGAGATGTAACTGAGTAGAGATGAATCTATCTGCCTGAAGATACGTTGTCGGTTATTTTGATGACATTATTATTACTACTTTCATTGCGTTGATGGTACTATTGTTGACCTGCCTAATCATTTTGATAAATTTTCCTTTATTGTATGATACATACAGTTATACTGCAAATTGCTTATTCTTCAAAGTCCTGATTTTTATGCTGAGTTATATGAATTATGATGAGGTGTCATGAGAACATTTTTTATTCAGCTGACCAACACAACACAAATCAAATTCCCCCTCATTTTATCTTCATTTAGAACCCAGACATATCTCTGGGTATAGACTGGATGAAAGCAGTGTATCACTGGTCCCAAGTCATCCAGTAAGCCTCATTGGTAAGAGAATTTGAATCTCAAGATTCATTGCTTCCACTCTTAGCATTTTGGGTTTTTTTAAGTACATCATCTCCCCAGCTTCTAAATCACCTGGACTGAACAAGTGATTACTGGTGTAGTGTGTGAGAAGAAACTGTCCTCTTTATGTGTTGGGTTTTTTTTGGGGGGGGGGGTTAAATATTGTTGAATATTTCTGATGATGTGGCTCATTTGTGCACATAATAATAAAGGCATTACTGAATGTTATAATTCTTCAGCACCCTGGAAACTCTATTGCAGTCTATTGCAAGTTTCAGCTTTTGTGATCTCAAAGATACTTAGCATTGTGTTTTCTCTTTCTGCAAATGGATTGTAGCTAAACAATTGGGTGCAAGCTTTGCATTTAGAGGACCTGTGTTCACTCTGACATTATCAGCTAAAAGATCGTGTAGTGGATGATGGGAAAGATGTTTTATTTGAGACCATGTATATATATGGAAAGGAGGGAGATCTTCCTGAGGAACATCTGCTCCAGTCAGTAATGTAGCGACTAGCTCTTTTTTATTCAAGGTAAAGAAGTTGGCTGATCTAGAACTAATATATGAAAATTAGAACTAATATATAAAAATTATAAAAGCTTATTTTGACTAAAACAGGAGAAATGCCTTTACAAAGAGACCTGTTCTACTGGAAGAAACTGCCCTGGACAAGAGACAATTGTAGATTTTGTTTTACTGGAAATATTGCATGCTATTTGTACTCTGCATTGAGAATCCTGTAATAACAATGGCTTGGACTAGATGACCTAAGAAATCCCTTACAGTACCATTATTTGCTGTCATTTTGCCATAGATGAAGTCAGATCTGTAGATCGATCATAAAAATATGACCTCATATCTTTAATCAATCTTGTTCCTGGAATATATGGCTGTACAAAACCTTTTAATGAAACTACCACCATTCTGTTCTATTACAATGAGGAAAACTTTCTAAAATATTTATAAATTTAACAAATAGATAAATGTCTAATTTTCTTCCAATAGAATCAATAGGATGTTAAATATTTAATTTTGGCTCAGTTGTGCTCGGTATATAAAATCCTTAATATATCCTTGATTCTAAAACCCTAAAATTAATGACTAAAAATGAAAAAAAGTTGTACAGTGATTTATATGTTATTATATAAATTGCTTGTGAGATTGGTAAAGAATGAATTTCATCAATTTTCCAGAGCAAGTAAAATCTGTACTTGAATTATCCAAATTATATTCCTCTAAAAGTTGATCTTTTAATAGTAATTAATGACTTCCATATACAATAATGATATTTTTACTTTAAAATCACATATCACTTTATTTTTCTCAATCAGGAATCTTGAATGAAACATACTCTGCAATTTTTTTTTCTCCTCACCAAATCTGATATTATTCAAGATTTAATATGTAAATTGATCTGTATGTAGCTACATTCTCCAGGATTTTTCATTTAAAGGAAAAGTTTAACTCCCAATAATTTGCATTTATTTTTTGTTCTTACAGGTGCTGATAAAGGAAACAAATTTCAAGTGTACAGGGATTCCTCATATTCTGATCCAAGCAGGGATAATAAAGTATTTGATACCTATTAATGGGAAAGTAACCATAAGAAAATTTCAAGCATAGAAACGTTTGAGGTAGATGACACTAAACTGCAATAGCATCAAATTGCTTTGAGATTTTTTATCAAAATCACTAGACAAAGATGTGCTAATCTCCAGTGCTAACACAACTTTTTAAAAACCAAAAACTATATTTAAAACATTGCTTTAAGCAAGATAAGAAAGAAATCACTGTAACCCAGAGAAAACCTTTGACAGTCTTAGTACTTGTTTTTCCACTTTTTATTACACATTTTATGCAATTTTTTTAGCAAAACTAATGTAACTCACTATAAAACAGAAATGCAAGCATAAGCCATTGACTTGATATGAAGTTGTAATAGTTTTTATTCGTTTTTGTCAAGCAGATAATTGAATCTGAAACTGATTCAGTAAAAAGTTTAGAAGTGAGTGCTACCTCCATTTGACCCAAAAATGCCAAGGAGACAACACCCACTATTGGGTTATGGCAACATTTAAAAAATAATGTTTTCCATTTTGAATGCAGCAATGTAAACTTCAAAAAGAGTAAACTATCACCATTGCCTATTTCTTTGCACATACCACATCATCTATCACAGATAGAAATCCAATGGCAAATCAAATTGTACAAGTAAACAGCTTGGTGCTTACAAGTTTTGTAAAAAGTGTTAGGATTGATGTATGTATTTTGATATCCTTAAAAAAATAGCAATGAATAAAAGCAAATGCAATTCACTTATATTTTCAAATATTGTACACATTATTTTTCCAAACAGCTGCAAGCTTTGTTGGTAGTTTTTAAGCATGGTTCTTAGGTATACAGCTTGATTCTCTCCTCACAGAAATACAGGTCAGGAGCATCTCCAGATCTGTGCAAGTGGGAAGTAAATCTGGCCGCAACAGAAGATGTAGTAGTCCTCAAATGGTCTGCAGTCCTAGTAATCAGCAGCTTGAAGTAGGCACTCCTTGATTTCTTTGTGAATTTCAAAAGCACTCTGTCTATGGAACACATTCTTCATGTTGAAAAATCAATACAAGCAACTTGAGAGTTTCCTATTTCTATACAGACAATGGACTAGAATTCTGTAGAAGGCACTGTATTTTCCTTTGCATGATATTAAGCACAAACTGCAATCATGCACACTTAAATTTATTCCCCCTGAGAACTTTCTTTGCACAAGCTCCCCTGAGGCAGACAGTGTAGGTGTGCAAAAATAACACACCGTACAAAGTACTCTTCAACTATTTCCATTCATGTTAGTGGGGTTTTCAAGAGTAATCCCTGGTACTTCAGTACTCTTGATAGTTTCTCCCGTATGCTTTAGTGCAAACCTAACATTTTTACTTTCTTTTAATCTGGCACAAAGTGCACTTATCTTCACAAGACACGCTCCCACCCTCCCACCCCTTCTTCCCCCCAAAATAGCTTATTTTGGTTTATTTGCAAATGTTTCATATGCAGCTCTCATAAAAAATAAGCTTATGACATAAGCATAATACTTGTTTCTCATTATATATGTGTTTGTATATTTATATATATATATATATATGTTTGTGTGTGTGCATGCACACACGCATAAATCACAGTGCGCAATGTATTATTCAGTACATAATGTTCAAAATGTATGCCCTCCGTCTCATGGTTTATCAATAAAATCATATATGCAAAGATCATTAGACATTACATTCATTTAAAAAGAGTTTCATGTTTTAGAGAGGTTCTCCCAAGTGAAAGGTTGAATGTGAAACAGTGCAAGCAATTTAGTGATGCTGAAACTTGGACTCTATTAGTATCAAAACTGTACATCTGTGTATATTTACTGTATTGAACATATGTGCTTTGCAAGGAAAAAGCTATGATTTAAAGTATACAATTTTAAGGAATGTTCATAAAATAATATTAATGTGTGAAAGATGACATGGAGGGGCGCGTTCTTCTACTTTTATTCTGCAATCCTGAAACAATGTCTCCATTTCCCTCTGGAATTTCTTCCTTCTTTCGTACTTTGAGGCGGGTAAGGAGTTTTATTAACCACTCATCCCACTCCTCTGGTAGAAGCAGCAGGAGGAAGCCCAAGCCAATTATGACAATGGCAATTACACGGACACTGTTGAAGACAATATCACTCGAGTAGTGATCAACAACTGCATAAAATATTGAACAGATAACATTATAGATAGAATAAAACATGTCAAGGTAATAACGTGTACAATAGCAAAAGATTTGGATTTCATTCTCACAAACCAAGAGCCCACAAATGTAGCCAAGTCATATAAAACTGAACACTACTAGTGAAATTGGGCGTTTTATCAACTCACTTGAGGTTTTTGACTTCTCTTTGGTCCATAATAGTTGCCAGGTGAAGCTCTGCATTCCATTTGGGTTAGTTCTGGGCTAGCTTCACCTTGCATCAAAGTGTCTTTATTTTGCAGATAATGGCAAATAATGTTTTGAAGATTGTCAAAAATATTTTTTTCCATTCTTTAATTTTTTTTTATGCCGCCCATTTCCCCTTATAAGATGGGCCTGGGCAGCTTACAGATAAAATTTATCATTGCTCTATGATGGTTGTCCACCAACTGTTCTGCTATATAAAAGAGGGAGATTGGTGGGGACTGATTTTTGTTGTGATCTTGCTTTTCATAACCAAGTAGGATCTCTGAGTAGGAACTTGCCATAACTCCCAATCTAATTCATTATCTGGCAGCTTCTGGAAACTGCTAGTGGATGTGACTGGTAATCATGCCATTATTACAACTGTTGCCAACGACATTTAAGATGCAAAATTGAGGAATCGAGTGACTAGTACCCTATAGACTGAGCAATTTTTTTAAAAAAAACTAAACTGTCTTCAGAAATCCATACTTTAGAAACATGACCTTTCCAAACAAATTGATTTCTATGCAGAGTGCTAATTATTTTTAGGGTAATGTTCTTTAAAATGCTCTTAAGTTTATCAAACACACATTTTGAATGAGATTCAAGCACTATGCAAGAGCATACAAAAGTATATGGACTTGAATAAAATCTAATTTGTGCTTCCGAAAATTGCCACAATGGAGGTGGTTGTCATGATGTAGGCAGCTTCCTAGGGAGCTTTGTGTAACACAACTGTCCAGCAGCACACCTAGATGTCACCAGGGGAAGAATTTTGCAACTAGAATCACCCAATAGGAACTGGCCAGATACACACTAAAGGAAAAGAAGATAAATTCTTTTACTAACATTTGATTCATAAACAAAACATGAATATTTTGACATTATGAAGTAGGAAATTACTACTTCAAATCATCACTTTCCAAACTCCACATGAGAACAACCCATTAACGGATTTTCCTGTTGTTTGTCCTCTGAAACAAATGGGTGACGCTCTAAAATTCAATACGGTATCGAGAGAAAAACTGCAAAACCTTGAAATAAATATGTTTGACAAATTAAATATTTAGTGTAATGGTTATTGCCATGAAAGGCTAATGCTATGAAATTAAAAGGAGTAAGCATTTGCTAAAATAAACTCTGCTTATTTAAATACAATGTATTCTACTTTGCATATAAAACATGTACATCCTGATTTTTATGTCATTTGTTAATGAAAAAGTATACTTACTAGCATTTACAGGTACACTTAGTACAATCCCGAGAGATATCAAGGTAGGATATGTAATAGCAATCCCAAAATTTAATATAATATTGAATGCTGAAATAAGAAATAACATTTTTCATTTTAGAATTACTTTTATTTTGGTACTAAGTCTGCTTTTTTTTTTTTTTTACAGATTTAACCAGTTTATTTTTAGCAGCCACATTTAGATTGATATGAACCTTTGCACATAAAGATCAAAATACAGGAGTTCTGAAACTACTGTGTATCGCATGCCAGATATGTATTGCAGGATTGCTCTTACTTATTTTATTCAGACTTCTTACTTATTTTATTCATTCTGCTTTCCCAAATTAAATTTACTTCAGAAAGCATTCAAATGCATGTATTTAAGGTGAAAATGGTCTTTAATTGACTAATTTGTCTATTTTATGATGTACCCATAATGCATACTTACCTTGTTGCTCCACTTATTCTTTTATATAAATAGAAGAATATTGAGGAATTACATGATAGTTTTACATAAGCAGTATTCATAAAGATTAAATAACGGGAGTTTAAATTTGAAAGGCCACTAACATAGATAATTTTAGAAGAGAATTACTTTCATCTTGCTTACCGATACATTATGAGGACCATTATGTTGTCATTGGAAGTTTCTGTGTAAGTCATTGAACCAGAGCACATGGCTGATGGGAATCAAAGTTCTCTAATAAGTGATATTAGAATTAAGTATTCCTAGAGCTGAAAGAGGTCTTCCGTGATAACACTAACCCCCTGCTCAATGTAAGAATTCACATTAAAGAATTCTGACAAATATCAGTTTCAGCCTGTCCAGTGGAAGGTAGCCAACAAGGTGTGATTATTTCTTCCACTGTCAAACCATTGTTACTATTAGGAATTTTTTTTCTAGCATTCAGTAAGAATCTTCTTTCTTGCAAGTTGTCCATCCCATGTCCTACTACTACATTCATGTCCAAAGCACATACCAAGGTGCTTGAAAGTATTAGTCAGTGACACCACCATTGCCCACGGGAAGCCCAAGGGGGCTCCTTTCATGTCTATGTTATTTCCCCACCAAAGTGGTACCTATTTATTTTCTTGCATTCGCATCCTTTCAAACTACTAGGTGAGCAGGAGCTTGTGCAAATTGATGGGAGCTCATTGTATCACGTGGCTTGCCCTTCGGTTTCAAACTGCTGAGCTGTCGACCTTTCAATGGTCTTTTGGCTCAGCATCCACCGTGACCCAGTCCTACATTCTGGGGACAAATGAGGAGAGGTCCCGACTTTCTTCTGTGTGACAATCTGTCAGGCTAAGGTCTAACAATCTAACTAACAATCTATTAAATGTCAAATAATCTATTAAATGCACACTTAAAAGGATATAATAGTTATTAATGCAAGATATTGCACTCATTATATATTTTACTCACCAAATTATCATTTATTTATTTATGAGACTTATATACTGCTTTAAGTGCAAGCACTCTCTAATAATTTACATTACCTAATAATTTACATTAATAATTTAATAATTATAATTTAATAATTTAATAATTTAAATTATCTAATAATTTACATTACCCCCAACAATCTGGGTCCTCATTTTACCTACCCCGGAAGGATGGAAGGCTGAGTCAACCTTGAGCCGGTGAGATTTGAACTGCTGACCTGCTGAACACAGTCAGCTAAAGTGGCCTGCAGTACTGCACTCTAACTGCTGCGCCACCATACTATCAGTATGACAGGTTAACCCAGTGGTTCTCAACCTTTCTAATGCCGCGACCCCATAATACATTTCCCCATGTTGTGGTGACCCCCAACCACTTATACATCACCAGGTGCCAGGGGCATGGCCAAAGAAAAGGGGGAAAAAATGGCGGACAGCCTTGTTTGGCGACCCCTGTGAAATGGTCGTTCGACCCCAAATGGGGTCCCGACCCACAGGTTGAGAACCACTGGGTTAACCTCTTACTTTTCTTTTAGATAAAACACTTGCCAGTAGTTTTTTAAATATCAGTTCTGAACCATCATGTTAGTCAAATTATGGAGGATAAAATTACAATGATTATGAGATATGATGGCTATACATTACACTAAGTTTTAGAAGCGATATACTTCTCAATAGCTGTTGGGTAACATGAGAAACCATGTTAGGAATAGTGGCATCATTTTAAACCAAAAAAAAATAGGTTGCATAGGATTAGATTAAATTAGATTGATTAAGTAGGCTTTAAGCATGATGTGCAGTCTTTCTTTTTCTTAAACTATCCAACATAATTGTTTACATGGATGCCATTAGTATAACTAAGCAACATTTACTTACTCAATAATAGGACTGAAAATCCACAAATGCTTCCCCAAGGAATGGCATCAAAAGAACTCCAGTATTCAACTTTGGTAAAGTAAAGGATGACAGGAATACAGGTAACAAAAAGGATATTGAAAATAGCTAACACTGACAAAAATAAGGCAGCTTCTCCATATTTAGCACTGCCCAGGAGAAGCTTAAATAAAACCTGTAACAAAGAGAAAACAATCTGAAAAGCAAAATCTAAATAACTTCTTACCATGTATAAACACGTTAAAGTGCATTTCTAATTTAAAATATACTTATGTAATGCAGGTACATTGGGGGGGGGGGAAAGAATATCTTATTTATACTGTTAATGAGAAGTGTAGAAGTTGTTTACCTAGAGGTTTCCGGGTAAACAACTTCTATTAAAATCCATTCTGGATCTATTCTGTCGTTTCCAACAAAGATGGAAAGCAGCTCAACAGAAGCTATACAGTACATTAAATGTACTGTCTCCAGAACTTCCTGCAGACTTTTGTAAATTTGCCAATTTCATGCTAAACTGTTTGGAAGCACTGAACTTGAAGATTGGCTAGAAATATTCACCAGGAAAAAAAATAACTGCCTTTTATATTTTAATTTCACAGTAGTAGACATAATAAGTGGCTAAAATTGCTAGGTAAATTCCTATAAATGAGTACAATATTGAACAGAAGTGCATTTCAGCATTGTAATATTGATTTTTGTATAGTTTCTTAGTCAATAGTCACTATAAAGGTTACTTATTCTATCCTTCAGAAACTACCGTAACAGCCATTTCATAGCCTTTTTTGTAATACAGCATTTTTAAATAATGTGAACTGATAAACAACTTAGTTTTAGTTTTGTTCTCAAGCCTTGCTATTTGATTCAAGCAGTAAAACTATAACTTTCTCAACAAATTTTGTGGTAAAGGTGGGACACACATCTACCATCTACTGTTACAAATATATATTCTTCAAATTTAATTTTAATTACATGTAAAATCTTAAAGATGCAAATTTAATAATGTTTTAATGAAGAAATATATATATCAGCAAGAGTCTCATGAATTAATGATTTGGGAGCAAATTTACCTCTAATTATTACTGCTTTCAATGAGAAGAATAAATATATTTCTTCACTTTGATTTCCATGTAACCTCAATGATATAATATAATTTTGACATGTTTAATAATGAATACTAATTGTGCATTCACTTCTAAAGTAGATGTTTTTCCATATAGCTTTGTAATTATGTCTAAAAGTCACTTTTTAGATTTATGGAATAACAAACTGCCTTTTAGTTAATAGGTTAATTCCACTTCACTCCCAAAGCAGCTCATTTGACTGAAATAACTCTCACCTCACCTTTTGGACAGATCACCTAATAAATGTCATTGAACAACTTTTACCAATATTTAGCTGTATACCCCATTGCTAGTGATAGGCCCAGGTGGCAAATATTATTTGGATTTACTGTATGCTACTTCAGTCCATTCATACTCCCATTCAGACATGCACATATAATACAAAAATTAATGCTAGCACAGTTCTTCATGAAATGTTTCCTATTCTGATGGCATCCTTTGATCACTCCCTGTTATTTTTATTTTCTTTCCAGCTCTTATGAATAGTAAGCAAAATGGCTACAACTTGTTACAATGAACAGTAGAGGTTCATTTTTTTTTTACCTTGGGTTAGACTGATGTGCTAACAAAATGCTATTGCATGGAACCATTTACTGTTTCCATGTACTTCTCAGATGATGTATTTCAGAATATAAAAAAAGCTATAACAAGTTTCATTTATGAAATATTAATGTAAAAGCTGACTTCTGTTTTTACATACACACACTTGGTACAAGAACCAGCGTTGTATGGCCAAATAATTTCATACAGACTTTTGAATTTGTATATTGTCTCCTTTTAAAAAGGGGGGAAGGATTTAGCCTCTTTAACCTTACTTTTTAAATCTTTGCTTTATATTGGTTATCTCACAAGCAAATACCATAAAACAACAGATTTATAAGTTGTTCTAACACAGTGGTTCTCAACCTTTTTAATGCCGCGAACCCAACTGGTCGTAAGTTGAGGATTACCCAACCGGTCGTAAGTTGGGGACTACCCAACCGGTTGTAAGTCGACGACTTTCCCTGCCCAGGAGCGCCGCGCATGCGTGGTGCCGCCTCCTGCGTCAGCCGAGGCGTAGCTGGCAAACGACAGAGATGGCGCAGGCCGACCACCGGCTGGGCCACCAGCTGGCCCAGCCCAAGGGAGGTAAGGCACCCGCCGGGCCCCACACGCGCCAGCAACCCTCCTTGTGCCCACCGGCCTTCCACCTCCCACCCCTAGCCCTCTTTTACTTACATTTTTAGTAGTTGCTCAGCAGGGAGGGGTGGAAATTTCCAGACAGCTCACCTTCGCTGCAGACAACTTGCAGCACCGTTTGCAGAATGGGACTTTTGGCGGGCTCAGCAGGGCAGAGACAGCCTGGAGAATTCCTATTGGCTTTTGAAAACCAATAGAATTCAACTCTATTCAAGAGAGTCTATTCTATTGGCTTTCAAAAGCCAATAGAATAAAAGGGAGTAGCACAGCTAAGGAAAAGGGGAAAAAATGGCGGACTGCATTGTTTGGTGGCCCCGTGAAATGGTCGTTCGACCCCAAATGGGGTCCCGACCCACAGGTTGAGAACCACTGTTCTAACATATGCTCAGATATATAGCAAATCTGAATGCTGTATTTATATGTTATGCTTCTCGTATTGGCCAGCTATGTGCTTGAAATCTTTATATTTGAGTCATCTAACCAATACTTTCATTTCACCAAATGAAGACAGGCAATGGAAAAGAACAATGAAAAGAAACTCTGCCTTTCAATTGAAGAAAAGGATTTCAGAAAACATATTTAGATCACCAGTTGGTGGCAGACATTTCCATTGTGGTGTCTGGTAAGAAATTAAATTCTCATTAAACAGTTCTTGGAAGCACAGAAACATGTTAAATTCTTAAGTCATTTTTTTTTCATGTAATCTCCTTCAAGCCCATTATGGAAGGAGCTGTGATGCTATTATTTTAAATCATCTTCTGGAACTTAATCTCTTCAAATATTGTTGGTTTACAAATACTACAATTCTTGTCCAAGCTTCTGGGAAACATGAGAAAGAGTGTTTGAAGATATGGAAGCTTTCACACACACACACATACACACACACACACACACACACCTGAACAGAAATGTTACAGGTTGGCAGTGCACAATTTTTGTTCCTTATGGTAAAGAAACTCATGAAAGCATGACTGCAAAACATGTCCAAATGACATAGACAATAATCTGCAAAATTTCCAACTAAGCATGTCTTATGAACATCAATATCCATGAGTTAATGGTAGAGTTATATACCGAGACTGAAGCCCAAGAAGAGGTGCTGGAATACTCTTGGTGGAAGGAAATTGTGTTCTTTCTTCCGTCCCCTAGTCAAACTTCATCCAATCTATGTTTCTTCTTGTATAAAAGCATAGTTGTGCAACTCACATGTTTACAAATAATACCATAATTTTGGATTAATTTTGAACATTTAGTCATAGTGGATGAATGGGGAACAGAAATTAAAAGCCTCTTCCTTATCCATTCCTTATGATTTGTTGTCCTTTTCCTGCTCCCAAAGTGAAAGCATTTCCATTTTGATGTAAAAATCAGTAGATAAGATAATATCCTTCTTTTATACATTCACTTTCCTTTTCCTTCATATTAGCAACAGAAATGGATTTTTCTAATCCTATTATTATGTATTGTGTTATAAACCAGCAGCTTGTAAGCAGATTTCCCTAACCAACTTCTAAGTTCTTTTCTTGAGTTTTGGAACTGGAAGTGATGAAGAATCTGGTCCCTCAGCAGCTCCAGGATCTCTTCCTTTACACAGTTGCTATTGTTTTTTTACATACAATGTGAACAATTTTTCTTTAAACAGTTTTCATAGATTGAGTAGTGTTGAGCCTGAAGATTTAGTGACCATGGTATTAGACAACAGATTTCTTGAAGTTTTGCCAACAACTATGGCTGTCATCTTCAAAGGCAAGGTAATCTATATAGCCAGCCAGTCTACACTGCTGGTGAAATATTAAGAAGTCTGTTGTTTAGGACACAGTCAGAACACCCTGAAGCTCAACACTATCCAACAGATACCGGCTGTGAAAGCCTACACTAGTTTCCATAGGGATAACCACTTGATTCAACTACCTCTGTGTAAAACTTTAATTCTGTAGCAGCTCTCTGAAAACATGACTCTTTAGAGGATGAACTGAACTGAAAACAGAACTTGGACACATTTGGTCATGCAGTCAAACCTGTAGACAAATGAAACTTAAGCCTATTACTATGTTTACCTTGTAAAGAGCCGACGTTGACGCAGATCCCACAACAAGTGCTATTCCAATAACTGAATGACTGTGGAATCCATCTGCGTAAGTCATCATAACTATCCCTGCAATAGCAAGTATAGCAGCGACAATCTGTTTAGGATACACAGAAGTAAAATGTTAATGGGCTCTAAAGTCCCCCTAGCTCCTGGTAATACAGAAGGCACCATTAAACTGTGTTCTTTCCTTTAGGCAGCACTAAGACCATTTTTCATAAGCTTAACTTAAATTAGTATATCTTATGCACTTTATAGATTAAACCAGTGATGGCAAACCTTTTAGAGACTGAGTGCCCAAAAACCACACCCTACCCCTGTCCCTGCCCCGCCCTGCCCACTGGGCCACCCACAACCTCCAGGGCCTGCCACAGATCACCCAGGCAGCCCAGCAGTGCCATGGTGGCCACGCCCTCTGCCTGTGCCCTGCAGCATCATCTGCGTGCGATGGGGTGCAAGGGCAGAGTCTTATCCCCACTGCCCAGCTACCATGTCCTTGGCTGCACTGCTTCACGTGGGTCGCGCCTGGGGGTGACTCTCCTCTGGGGGGGCTGCTAGTGAGGGGGCCATCGGAGGAGGCAGGGCTGGGACAACAGTGCGTGTGCCCACAGAGAGGGAGTGCCACCTCTGGCACGCGTGCCATAGGTTCGCCACCACTGGATTAAACCAAAGGCTACTAAAGACGAAAATCAAAATTAGTTAGGGTTTCTGTTTTAAAGTTACATGCCAACATACCATCACTGAGAGATCAGTTTGTAAACAGTTGTTTATATTATCAGATCTATATGTTTGAAGCAGTGAACCCTCAGAAAAGGTACCTGGAGTCGGATTATAGAAAAAGTAATACAGAACAGAACAATACATCGAACATGCTGATTTCACTGAAATGTAGTGACTCTTTGTTTCCTCCTAGGTTACAAACACTTATCTTTTCATCTCATATCTCATCCCTTATCTATAGACAAATCGATAAAGCATCATCTTTTCAATCCGATTGTCAACAGAAAGTCCATAAAGAACTGCCAGAAGTAACAATATATCTTGTTTTAACTTTGATCAAATAAGCCAACTTTATATTCCTTCTTTTTACTTCTGATAGATATAGTCTTCAGTTCATTCAAGCAGTAGGATTTGATTCCTTGTCATTTCTTCTTTGTCCAATTATATTGAGTTCTTTGAGAGCTTAACAAGCCCCTTTTGTAAATCCGATAGAAAAATATTATCCAGGTAACTCTCTTGTTTTGTCATTTGCATTTCTGTTTTAAATTTTAAAAATTCAGCTAGTTTCTTTTATAGATTGAGCAAAACATAATCTCTCTTAACCTGTCATTTGTAAATCTAATATCTCTATCTTGTTAGATAAAATTTGTTCTATATTTGTCATTTTGTCTATAACAGTTTCTAGATATCTATAGAAGCACACATTACTGATATTGTTGATATTGTTACTAGTTTCTGACTCCATTTTTTAAAAGCCTCCTTCAGTATTTTCATTGTTATAATGTTTTGCAACATTTTACCGTTCTGGAAGTTTTTCCTCTCCACTAGTGTTCAATTTTTAAAATCATGAAATTGCTAACAATTGCTTTGTTATGTCTTGTAAAAATGAAAACAGAATCTATTTCCCATGAGAAGTTGTTTGTTCTTTATAATTAATTCCAAAATCTTACTGTAAAAGTTTCAATATTCCAATTTTGTCCTTTAAAATTTTCTAGAATCAAATTCTTATTTAACTTTTAGCTGTTTATTTCAGATTCTTTAAACTATTTAGCTTATGATTATTTTTTTTTTATTCAGGATTAAAGGCAGATTTACTCAGCATTTTCAAGCCTGTATTTCTGAAGGCGTCTGATAGCTTAGAAATAGTTAATGAGCAATTTTTAAAAGCCATTAGAAAGTGAGGCTTTGTGAACTTGTGTCCTTGAAACTTCTTTGCTGTGTTTGCAAGCAAGTTGGCTAATTCCATGGTCTCTCAACATCCAAACCCATAGAAAAATCTCTATCTTGCAGTCTCCTTGTACAGTATCAATCGCAGTATCGATCGCCATCTTCCTGTCTGGCTCTGACAGAAAAGAGAGGGAACACATGTAGGGAGTGGGTTTTTTATACCATCTGAAACCTTTTGTTTTGATTTGTTTCCTGTTCCTGTGGCATGAACTTTGAACTGAGTCTGGGTGTGCTTTTCTGGGCCTTGGTATCTGTGATTTAATCCTATTATGTTTCCTTGGGGCTGGGCTAATGACTCTTAGAGTTTGGGTGAGGTATGCAGATTTTAGGTCATTGTCTTCTTAATCTTCTAGCTCCAACTTTCCTGAATGGTCTGCATCTGCATTTCTATAGAGCTGGTTTCTTCTTGGGGGAGGCAGACTTGGGGCTATTAAGAAAACTGGGCATGCTTTCCTGCCTCTTCAAGATCCTGAGGAAATATATTTTTTCTGCCCTTTTAATATTTCCTTCTCTGGAGGGGGTGACTTTCCACACCACAAAAAGCTGCAACTTTTGTAACAATTTGAACTCCCTGACCTAAGTAGTACCTAGTGAGGAAAATCTTTATATTTCCTGACCTTACAAATTAAGTAACATTAAATCAAAAAGATCAAAGTAAATGTGAACTCACTTTGTTGTTTATTACAAAAAATATTTGTACAGATTTATTTTTACAGATGTTGGTAAATATTTTAAATAGTTAGTGAGACGTTAAGGTCTGAATGTTCTCCTTATTGCTTTGCTTGCCTCATTTGAAGGAGGTTCCTTTCGCTATTGCTGTAATTTGGCAGATAAAGAATTGTAGTTCTCAGAAGGGCAATGTGCCCTTCAACTGAAAGAATTTTTTTTTTACATTCATACACCCTAGCATAGAAGTCTGTGAGAAGACAAAGGAGGCAAATGTGAAAATGTGCAATGAAATACCGTAAATGTGACTCTGCTGTTATGTACTTGCATGCAACATAGCAAGACAAATATAAAACATCATAGCTTAAGTTGTGATGTCACAATGCTTCTTCTGTAATTTTGGCATCATCATAATTAAGAATGAATGTCAATCCAGTTTTTTAAAAAATGGAGAGAAAAAATGGAAACCAGCCATGAAAATACATAAAAAATAAAGGAAAGGACAGTTCATGACATTTGGTTAATTAGCTGGAGGCCTCATGATCACAGTGAATGACATTATTATTTTATTATTTTCAATACTGATAGGCTTTTTAAATAATACTAAGTTCTTAGGCCGACTCACAGTTTAAGCTCAAACAAGGTGTTAGGAATAAAAATATGATGTTAACAAATTTCTTGAAAAAAAAACTAATGAACAGTCAAACCAATTTAACAGGCTAATTTAAAAGATGTGATTAAAAAATAGACAGGGTAGAGGGCTAAAAAGTGCCTCTTGGGGGGAGGCCCTCTGATTAGGATCTTGGGATCTTGATAGATATTTCTCCTTATAAAGAGAGAGGGTCTTTTTGCTACTGTTATTTAAAACTCTGAAGAACTTTAAAGCTGTTTGCATTCATCCAGAAGATAAGAAATCAGCAGAATCAAGGGAACAATAATATTTCATATTTATATTATTCAGTTTCATTGGGACACTACACATCCTCTTCATGACTGTTTTCCTTGTTACCTTCTGGGAGGAGGCTTCGTGGTATCTGAAGCAGAACATCCAGGTTGAGTCACAGTTTTGTTCCATACAGTATTAACCTTGTGAACTCTAAAGCTTCCTCCTTCAGTTATGTATGCAAGATGGACAGTGATTAATATTTATGTTACTTATATGTAAGGGTGTAGATCTATACATATGTTGTATATAGTATGTTTAAATGTGTGTTATGTATGTGTACGCTTTGAGAGCAAGCAACTAAATTTCATTTTTAATGTGTGCCTTTGTGCCCACAGTAAAAAATAGCAATAAGGTTGTCTGCCTGTCTGTCTGTCTATCTATCTATCTATCTATCTATCTATCTATCTATCTATCTATCTATCTATCTATCTATCTATCTATCTACCTACCCACGCACCCACCTACCTACCTATCTACCCACCCACCCACCCACCTATCTACCTACCTACCTACCTCAGTGGTTCTCAACCTGTGGGTTGGGACCCCATTTGGAGTCGAATGACCATTTCACGGGGGTCGCCAAACAATGCAGTCTGCCATTTCCCCCCCCCTTTTCCTTAGCTGTGCTACTCCCTTTTATTCTATTGGCTTTTGAAAGCCAATAGAATAGACTCTCTTGAATAAAGTCTAATTCTATTGGCTTTCAAAAGCCAATAGGAATTGTCCAGGCTGTCTCTGCCCTGCAGAAGTCCCATTCTGCAAACGGTGCTGCACCAGTTGAGTAGTCCTCGACTTACGACCGGTTGAGTAGTTCTCGACTTATGACCGGTTGGGGGTCACGGCATTAAAAAGGTTGAGAACCACTGATCTATCTGAAAGCTACAGATTCAACATGTTCTCTGAATGTAATTAATATTCATCATTACACTAAGCCTTCTGTAGACAAATCGTTTTAATATGTCAGATCATTATCAGGACTAAAATTCATAAGACCCCCAACTTGACTTTCCTTCCTTCCTTCCTTCCTTCCTTCCCTCCTTTCTTCCTTCCTTCCTTCCTTCCTTCCTTCCTTCCTTCCTTCCTTCCTTCTTTATTTATTTATTTATTTATTTATTTATTTACCTGGCTCTTCCTCCAGGCCTTGGGTTAAGTGGGGTTGATTGATTTGTTACAATTGATTTTTCCAGAGGTTTTGTGTTTCTAGATGTATTGTATTGTTTGTACACTGCCCATAGATGTGATGCATCCAACTTTCTCTGTCTTTATCTCTATTCCTCTTCATTTCCATCTCCATCTCTCTTTTATCCATCTATCTATCTATCCATCCATCCATCATCTATCTATCTATCTATCTATCTATCTATCTATCTATCTATCTATCTATCTATCTATCTATCTATCTATCTATCTACACCATTTTAGTTGATGAAAGCTGACTACCAGTAAAAGTTAAGTTTTAGAACTAGTAGAAGAAAAATCTCCATAACAGAAGAAATATGGAATTAAAATCAATAATTTCAACAACCAAATCAACAAAATAGAAACCTTAAATTTTGGTTCTAATGTCATTCTATGAAATGTCATTCTATGAAAACTGAGAGATTAAAATTATTTAAGAAAAAGATACGTTTTAAAGAAAGCCAAGGCTAAGATACAATGATAATATAGCAATAATTTTAAGAACAACTTTATAACATGAAATCAGTTTTTAATGCATAAAATTAAATACTTTATACTGCTATAAATGTTTAAAGAAACGATCTGTACTAGTACCAGTGCTGGTGATGGTAGAAAAAAGAGTTTATTAACCACTTACCCTCACTCCCATGAATCTGTCCCTGAGAACAATCCACGAAAGCAAGAACACAAAAGCTTTGTTGCAGCAGAACAGTACGGAAACATCCGTAGTGTTTATTTTTTTTATTGCATGTAAATACAGGTAGTTCGTGAGTGTCCAAAGAACACCAAAAGGTGCAGCTTTGGTAAAAAATGCCTTCAGTGTCAAGCCGTTGTCTCCAAAAAACCGACAACACTCCCTAAAAGAAGAAAAGAATAGTAGATCCTGAGAAAGTACATCAAGAATCTGTAGCATCTTAAAGATTGACCTATTCTATATCAGCTGCATTGTCAACCAGCAATGGATCAGATCAAAGACTGTGTGAAACTTCTAGCGTGCCCTCAGTCATGGAAACTTTTCTGGATGTTTTTACTGTTTTAATTGTTTTAGAATTTTAGAATTGTAAACCACCCAGAGTCAATTGGTTGAATTGGATAGCTATAGACATTGAATGAATTAATAATAAATAAAAATGGATTGGCTTACTTTGGAACAATTGTTCTCTCTCAGACCAACCTATTAAACAGGGTGTCTTTGCAGAGTAAAATAGGAGGAGAGAATGCTACATACATACTCACTTGAGCTCCTGAATCAGATTATAAATCTAATCCTAATGCAGCTTTATAACTAAAATCTAAGGCCTAAATCTAAACCTAAAAGCAAGTTATAAATCTAATAAATCAGTCGATTTTAAAAGAAACTTATATTTTTAACTATAAGCATTTCTGGTACCAGAACTAGTTTTGAACAATTAAATTTCTGATTACTCCCTAAGAAAAGGGAAAGCATGTGACAGTGTCCTTCCAAACCTTCATCCCTTCACATATCTATACACACACTACTTAATCCTCTTTCTTCACTTGCCTGAACCAACAAAAAGATCAGAGTCCAAAGAAAACATAATCAAGAACAAACAATGCCATGCATTTCAAATCTTGTTGTTTTTATTGAACATATGCATGGCATGTATTAACTCAAAAGTAAAAGCCAACATCTTTGAGCTTAGAGAAGATTTAAGAAGATCATGAAATTGTCTTATTTTTTTTTTAAAAAATTCTTCAAATATAATCAAAGATTTTTTTAAAAAAAGCATTCATCTGAGTGCTTCATCTGTTTTAGGGTAAAAACACCAAAAGCAATTCAAAAAATTCTAGGGAAGATCATCTTGTCCCATTCAGTAACAAATATATGCCACACACAAACAATTTGACAGAGCAAATTTCATTAAGAAATAATTGAAACGAATAGTTTGTGGCAATAAATAAGCCTTACATTGGCAGATACAAAGTTAGTTCTTATAGTTCTTTAATTCTTTCTATACCCAAAGAGGGGAAAGAACCATTGGTGTATTCTAAAGTAGAAGAGAGAGACAAGGCAAGTATATGAACCTTAAAGCATTTTTGTATCTGTCTATTTTGAGTGTTTGTACTAATAAAGACAAGGAAAGGAAGAAACTGGTCCCAGTTGTAAAAGAATGCTTGTGGATGGATATACAAGATCTGATCTGAAAGCCAGGAAGGCTTTCAAAACCCTCGGTCCACAACCTTTTGCACTCTCCTTGCAACTCTTGGGAAGAGCCATTATGCCTGCAGAAGCCACCCATAACAGTTGAATGACCATAAATAGCTTGGTGCTATATGTTCAGGCAAAAGTTGAGCTGTATTATATATACATTTTTGGATGTGAATGCTGCAAGGTATTTTTCCTTGGTGCCATGTAAAAACCCATCCTTTCAGACACATTAATTCAAATTCACATATCTTTTAAATATTTTACTTCATTTTCTTGGGAGCTGTTTCTTCTGTAGTTGCTTGAAACATTAGACAAAAAGCAATTGAATAAGAGATTATGGTTTCAAAACTTTCAAAATGTTGATATTTTGAGAGCACTCCTATTTTGCCTGCAAAAATCTGATCAGGTTTTGACACCCATCTAGGTTGTTGATAACGTCTGGTTAGCCATGACTCACAATCTGAGAACGCCTGCATTAACCCCTAAAACTAAAAAGCTTGGAATGAAGATACAGCAAGAAAAGATACAGCAGAATGACTGGTTTTTAGCTTCAATCTCCTGTTTTCTAAAATTTACCCACCTTAATAGGACTCCAATACAAATCCTATAAGAATCAATTCCACAATTCTTTGAATAAAACATTGTTGTCCAGAACAATATTTCTCAATGGATGTGATGAGAATAAAATATATAAACAACTTTGAGGGGAGGAATGCTCCTAAATATAAGTGTCCAATGTTTAGATAGAGCCCAGAAACAAGTAATCATCTGCTGCTTCTTTCTGATCAACCCAAGATGCTACGAGCTCTTTAGTGTAGTCAAGTTTCATGTGCCTTTATGATAAGCCTTACCATAGAGGGTTCATATTAATTTGAAAATTGAATCTTGTCATATTGTGGAAGGGATTTTTTCCCGTTGTTATGTATATATTATATGCCATATAATGGCTAATTCCACCACCACTGCCTTTCTCTTCAAGTTCTGCATTTGACCTTGCTCACTTTAATTCCATATAAAACATCTGCCAATTGAGGTGAACAGCCTTCCAAGCATCTTGTAAATTATCTAGATGTCTCCAATTTATGGATAGAAATATGTAGTAGCACCAATAAAAACACATTCTTGTTGCCACATTTTCATTTTATAAAGTATATCAATTCTATAGATGTACTATAAAGAGTATATCATCTATCTAAACTGCATATAATCCAGGTTTAGCTTAAACACAAAGGTATGTAAAAAGGGAAAGGTCTTAAAACAGGTCTTCAAGAGGAAAATTATAACAGGGCACCCACCATTGTGAATTAAATAACATGTTTCTACTAAAATTAAATGACTATCTCTAAATGGGCATTAGGTAAAGTAAATACATGTGACTTCTGATATTTATGACAATTAGAGGAAAGATATTTTATCTTATATCTTATCTTTTGCTATAAAGAAAAAGACAGTTAAATTATTTATTATTATTTTAATTAGCTCAATTAAAAATGAATAACAGCAACAAAAAGCATAAGAGAGAGTATAGATGTTCATTTAGAGAGATTTCATTTATTTTTAATAGATATATGTAAGATAAATTTTGCCTTTTCTACAATGTCCTTATCTTCCTTCTATTCCCTTCAATATTTGGGCCAATAATTTGCAGTCTTTTTTTTTTTTTAACCAAATAGCTTAATGAAACATCTAAGAAGAGAATAAATGACAACACAGCAAAATATGACAACTCTCTCTTACCCGTATCTTTGTTGGGGAGATTGTTTTTCAGCTGACTTACAAACATGTCCAATGTAATACAAAGGAAAGAATAAAAAGTTCCAGTTTGTTGCAAACCACGTCAAAGTGAAGGGGGCATCAAATTTCTTAAAGGTCAGTTTTGCTAGCTGGGTTGAACCTGACCAGGAAGAGCAGACACCAAGTACCACCACTACTCCCCAGAAGATTTTCTTAAGCTGGATCACAGAGCATGTTTGGCAACATGGGCTCCCTCTTCCACCAGCTTCCATCCCAGCTTGTGTCTGAGCTTCTGCTGGTGTTGTGCAATCATAGGAACGCTCATCCCCTGAGAAAAAAACAAGTAAGAGAGGTTAGACTCAGTGATGTATATTCTGCACCCTTTTATTTTCAAAGCAGCAAGCCTGAAACTGCATCTTATGTGGATCTCAGCTTTACATTATAATTTAAAGGAAAATATTTGAGAATGCTTATGCAATAGAATAATACCAAGGGACTTTACTGAACTTTATTAACTCAGATTTTGTTTTCGTATGTACAACCAAGTATTTATGGGCTAAGCCTCAAGCCCAATACCATGCTTCTTAAAAATCTGTTATATTCTAGTCACAAAAATGAGCACATTGCATACAAACATTTAAAAAAACATTTTACTCTATGTCTACCTTTATGCCCAGTGTTAAATCAAGCAATAAAGGTGTTTACAGTGTAGAAGTCATGTGACACACAACACCACATATATCACTATACCAGGGGTAGGCAACCTTGGCTCTTTTATGACTCATGGACTTCAACTCCCAGAATTCCTGAGCCAGCCATGCTGAGGGGAAAGGGAGAGGTTTCCAAGCTGAGCCATGCTGGCTCAGGAATTCTGGGAGTTGAAGTCCACGAGTCTTAAAAGAGCCAAGGTTGCCTACCCCTGCACTATACTATGAAAATGATCTTGCACAGGAGATATTGAATGTTTTTTTGCTCTTGCATTGGAAGGAATAATAGACAATGCCAGGCAAAGCATGCTATGCCATTTGGGCAAGAAATAGGTGACGTCAGAATGTGCTTTTTCATTTGCATTTATTTGCATCGAATTATACACTACAAAACATAACATAAACATATACTCGTATTACAATTATGGTATGGTGTGATGTGGCCTGGTGTATAGTATTCATATATCACATTTATAAACTACCCATCTCCCTTGTAGAGTGACTCTGGATGGCATACAAGTAGACATAAAATTATAAATGCTATATACAAATATAATAGAAGTCAGTTAAAACAATAATAAAACAATTAAAATTAAAAAGTTGGGAAAGGGGCTTCAGGGTGCTAACCAGTCCCATGGCTGTGTGCTCCTCTGTGGTCTGCAAGAAGTTGGCAGAGCCAGGTCTTTAGGTATTTCTGAAAGGCTAGGAGAGAGGGGCAGGCAGAGAAGAAAAAAAATGACATCTTGGAGGAACTCCAAACAGCTCAGCTAGGTCATTCAGATTAATTCAGGTTGTCCCAAAAGTGTTTTTTTTCAAGAGGCAACTGGACTTCTTTGCTTTTCTTTGAAGCTTTTCTTGTTTTGCTTCTCATCCAAGAAGCTTCTTCAGCTCTGATTGGATGGTGGGGAATGGAAGGATTTATATTTCTTGTAGACAGCTGGTCATTTGCATTTTTAGAGAGTTATTGAGGCCAATTGGAGGTTTATCCGTGTTCACAGAGTCACCTGAGTAGTGCAAATGGGTACAGAGCCTTCTTGGAACTGTTGAAAGGACTATGTTGTAGACTAGAGATGGATGATGTTGTATCTCTCCCCCTCTTTTGAGAGAGGGCTGTTCAGTTTTAACATAGGTGGCCTCTTTGACCCTCTTTCAAACCAGAGGTCCTCTCTGTCCAAAATGTAGATTTTGCTGTCTTCTAAAGAGTGGCCTTTGTTTTTTAAATGCAGATGGACTACTGAATCTTGTCCTGCTGGATTTGTTCTCCTATGTTGTGCCATACGTTTATGAAATGGTTGTTTTGTTTCCCCCAGTGGGACATGTGCAGACAACCACTTCATAAAGATGAGTAATGTAAGCTTTGTTTACTTACATTGACTCAGAATTTTGTGCCCAGTATCTATTGGGCAGTGTATGGTCTAAGCAACAGATTTCATGACGCTTTACCAGTAACTATGAATCTTTGTTGCCTCTCTGTCATTGTCTATTTCCTTGAACCTGTGCTATGCTGGACTCTGGATGAACACTGTAGCTTCTGTACTGTGCCTGCCCATCAGGTAAGACCTTATTCTCCATCCTTCCCAAAACAGATGCGCATCTGCATTGCTGGCTCTCTGCCTGCTTGTTTAGTTGGCTGAAATACTCCTCCTCAGTTAACAGTTTATAACTAATCCTGATGTGTTTGCTCAGTTTTGAATAGGAAATTTCTAACATTAGGTAGTCAAAGGCCCCAAATAATTATAAGCAGATGCAGTATGACATGTAGTACTGATAATATCACAAACAGTGGCTTAAATGTCCCAAATAAAATGCTGTGGGGGACAGTAATCTAAAATGAACAGATTTATGACTCAATGAGACTAAGATGGAACACAATTACAAAAAATGGGTTTGCACAAAATGCATTAGATATCATACACCAAAGTTATTAGATACAATTACTAGAAATAAACAGGTGCAACCCTAGAAAATAAAGCACAAACTCCAGACAGTGCATCCTAATTTATTAATCCATCTCACTCTTGGATGTTTATTGTGTTTATTGAATACTTCTCATTGATTTCCAATTTTTTAATCAGAAACTTAGGAGCAATTCATCCTAATTCTTTTATCTACATCAACAACACTAGCACTAATACTTAGACTTATATACTGCCCCATAGTGCTTTACACTTTCTGGGAGGTTTACAATGTTTTGTATATTACAGCCAATCTGGGCCCTCATTTTACCGACCTCGGAAGGACGGAAGACTGAATAAACCTTGAACTGGTCAGGATTGAATTCCAGGCTGTGGACAGAGTTAGCATGCAATACTGCATTCTCACCACTGCACCACTGGAGCTTCTTGGTCTTAATTATGAGTTCCCTCTATCAGCTATATTCTTTAGATGAACTAACTTAGCTCTATTTATCATGAATCGAGGTGGTTTATTTTTCCAAATATCTGGAGAATTCTCTTGTGCTTTTCAGTGCTGGGCTTATCTCTGTTCACTTCTGGAGGTCTCTGGGACCTCAGTTCAGGACTTCTCTCCCCTCCATTCTTCCTTTTCCAGCAATCTTTGATCTCCCCCAATCTCCTTCAGAAATAGTAAAGCTGGGAAAACTTTTGATTCTGTTCAAGAAAGTGACTTAAGTTTTGTTCTCGCTTGCCAAAAGGGATGTGCTGAGAATCATCCTACAGTATATGTGTTACCAGGCTTAGTCTACTTAGAAAGCAAAGGTGTTGCTTTCTGAAAATGTGAGGGCAGCTATTTTCAGTTGCCTATGTGCAAAGGATTGTAGAGTGTAACCGTAATGTAGTTTTATTTAAATCTCTATTTTTAAAAGTAATTATTTCTTATAATATTAGAATCTTTAAATTGCTCTAGCGAAGAATTTTTACTTCTGTTCAATTATGTCTGATTCTTGGAGACTGCCTGAACAAGTTCCTACAGTTTTCTTGGCAAGGTTTCTTAGAAGTGGTTTGTCATTGCCTCCTTCTTATGGCTGAGACAAAGTAAGTCATACCAGCAGGTAATAGCATAACAGAATTGGAAGGGACCTTGAAAGTCCTTCTAATCCAACCCCCTGCTCAAGCAGGAAACCCTATACCCTTTCAGACAAATGGTTGTCCAATCTCTTCTTAAAAACCTCCAGTGTTGGCGCACCCACAACTTCTGCAGACAAGTCATTCCATTGATTGTTTTAATTGTCAGGAAATTTCTCTTTATTTCTAGGTTGCTTCTTTCCTTGATTTGTTTCCATCCCTTGATTCTTGTTTTGTCTCCAGGGTGCTTTGGAGAATAAGTTGACCCCCTCTTCTTTGTGGCAACCCCTGAGATATTGGAACACTGCTATCATGTCATTCCTAGTCCTTCTCGTCATTAAACTGGATTTCTGCAACCGTTCTTCATGTTTTATAGCTTCCAGTGCCCTGATCACCTTTGTTGCTCTTCTCTGCATTCTTTCTAAGTGATTGGCTCAGGGTCATCCAGCCGGCTTTGTTCCTAAGGCAGAACTAGAACTCACAGTCACAGGTTTCTAGCTTGATGCCTTAATCACTACACCCAATTGGCTCTCAGCAAAGTATATATCTTAACAAAAATATCCCAATAAAGATATTGCCCTGTTATAAATCACAGAGCTTTTCTGAGGGCAAACTCTATAGCATTTTATATATGCAAGCTCGATAAAAACTTCAGAGAAACAAATTTTGTTGTTAAGTGGATAGTGAAGCTGCTTATTCAAATTACCCATTAATTTAAATAAGTGAAAAATGCTTTTCAAAGACCCTAAAGAATAGACAGCCCAAGAAGAAGTTTGGTAATCAGCTGAATTTACTTCTTAAAAGAATCAAGATTAAAAGAAATTATGCTTGACACAGACAATGTTTACTTTATACAACATATATCTTTATGTATTAAAATATTTTCATTTTACTATCATTATAGCAAATGATTAAGTATACAAGATATTGAAGAACAGGAGTATCGACTCATGCGCCTGAAAAAAAAATGTTCATTTTCATGTTGTATTAAAAGAACCTGGAGTTGTCTGCCTTAAAGCAGGGAGATAAATATATCTATAATTAAATTGCAGCCCTTTCTGTAGAGGGAAGTTATGGTGCCCATCATTCGTGCTCTTGTTACTTTGAGGCTGGGTTACTGCAATATGTTAGGGCTGTCTTTGATGTCCATCTGGAAACTTCAGATGGTGCAGAATGTGATAGTCTGCATACTGACAAGTAAGGGCTATTTCAGCAGCTTTGCTCCTGTACATTGCTGGTACTGGACAGGATGCCCCATAAACTTCTGAACTCAATCAAGGTGTTGACTTATAAAGCCCTACATGGTTTGGGACCATGTTTCCTATGGGCCATATTCTCCAAATCCAGTCAGCCCATCCTGTGAGATGAACCTGGAAGTGATATTTTAGGCTCTCTCTATTCAGGAATTTAGAGAGATAAGGTTGGAAGGCCCATCATCCCTATGATATATTCTACTTGTGAGGTCTACTTCTGGAAATTAAAGTGATGAAGACTGTTATTTTATTATGCCTTCATGGCTTGACTTGCTTTTCTCCTGTTAAATTTTAACATTTTTAATCTTTTAATAATACCTTTTTTTTTGAGTTGAATGTTTTAGG